AATATTCTATAATCTTTCCGGATTTTCTTCAGCTCATATGACGTGCGATTATATTTGTTTAGGTTGATCAAATGTATGCAGTTAAACAACAGCTTTATAACGGTATGCATAATTGAAATAAATATTTATAAAAAATTTACGTTGGAATATTTGATAAGAAGCAAATGTCATCAGGGAAACAAAAAAACTCTTTTGAATTCTCTCTTCAAAGGTAATTCAAAATGATTTTGATTGATACTTTGCATAATGCGAATGCCAACGGTTGAACGTCATCCGCGGAACTGAGGATAATTGCACCGCAATTAATTCGTTACGTTTATCTGCGTTGCGCTATATAAGAAAAACTTAAAATGCAAACAACATTAATTTTAAGAAATTTATTCAAAGATCTGATTATAAATTTCGTTAATAAAGAGTAACAATGCAATGATACTATGAATTTTCCAAGTCTGTCAGATCTATTAAATATTAAAAAAAAAAATAATAAAAAAATTTTTAAATAAGAAACTTGACAATTTCTAAATTATCATATACAAATTACTTGTGAGAAATTCAAGTCTTTTTCTTGCAATAATAATAATTTGGATTTAAATAAAATTACGAATAATTTGTATCAAATCCATAAAAAGCCTTGCAAGAAAGCAGACCCGAATCGTCATTTCAAGCAAATTTATGAGAAACTCAGGCTTTTCTCTTAACGCATACAAAAGGCTCGGTATTAAAAGGGTTAAATAGCTTTTCCGTTGGATGAAAGAGACTTTACCTTCGGGCTGCGGGATCAACGTGGCACAGATTCACATATCAGTCGTAGCGGAGGATACGCGAAGCATGAAGCGAAATGAGAGATCGGTCTATGCGCTCTTTTGTACGTGGAAGCGCGCGTATCGCGATACGAGCGTAACACACGTACACAAAGAAACGCACATACACAACGCAGGACGAGTCATACTGCCGTTGGCCGATCAATACCACGCTGGTGGAAGCGAAATGAGAGGAGGAAGCTGAAGAGCACGCGGGAGGGGTAGGAAAGAAGGGGAAGAGGCACAATGTTGAAAAGCTATGGACATACTAGGGCTGATATTTGTACGGCGCGTGGTCCAGAAATTCGCGCGGCTGTGTTCAGGGATTCCTCGCCCTAATCCACTTGGCCCTTTAAAAATCGCCAGAATTTAACTGCGTTATATCTGGCCTGAGACAATAATTCCGATTTTTACATAAAAGAAAGTAGTCCTCCCTTTTATTTGATTTTTTTTTATAAGCTGTAATTCAATATAATTCGAGATGGTCTCTGATTCTTTTGATACGGCAGTTTTAAATAAGCTCAGTTTTGTATGCAATAAATCAAAAAGAAATTTTCGAAATTACTGGAAATTTATTCTAATCTCACATAAAAAAAACAAACAAACAAACAGACTCGTGGAAAGCCAAAATTATTTCACAGCTATATAAGAAAACCCAATCATATCGAACTATATGCTGACTTAAAAATAATTTTCTGGAATTATTACATAGCGGCTTAAAAATAATTTTCCGCGATTACGATACTTGCGCGGAACGATCACTTTACGTCA